TTGCTCCTTGTTTCTTTCTCTGCCTCTATCTGTATTTCTCTCCTGTTTATTTGCTTATTGTCATTTCTGTGACCTTCGTAGAGGTGCAGATGGAGGAGTGATAAGTTTTGTTGACTCAACATTGTTGACTCAGTTTGATGGAGCTTTTGCGAGTGTGTTGTACATTAAGGTTTCATTCCAGCTGTACCGCTGTTGGTCAGTTAGGGTGGCAATGCGGTGCAAACAGAAACGGAAGTGAACTGAAAATGTGTTCAGTGTCTCACGTCACAAATAAACTTGATAGTATTTTATACCGGTTTATTGGTTAACACTTCTACATTTTAACATTTTTACTAAAAGTTGAACAATACTAAAACCAGCTTTTTAAAAATATAAAACTCCGTTTTGTGTGCATCTTCAGTTGCTTTAAGGAACATGAAATATCATCAGGTTTTGTAATCACAGAGCAGGCATTGCCAGATAGATCATTTACGTGGTACCTTTAGGATACCAGACCTTCATCCTCTCTCCAACTCTTAGAGGGTGTCTACCATCCTCATATGCAACTTTTTTGGCATAAAATACCTCAACATCTGCAAGCAAAAATGTAATTTTCAAAATCTGCAGTTATATTTTTAGTAATAGAAAATCAAACTGCAGATATCTACATTTCAATTTTGACTATTAAAAATTTCAAGTTCACATATCAATAATTCGTTTCTGACTAATAATATTGCTGTGTCAAGATACAGTCCCCTCTGAAAGTATTGGAACACCAAGGTCAATTCTATTGTTTTTGCTATATACTGAGGACATTTGGGTTTGGGATCAAAAGATGAATATGAGATGATAGATCAGAATTTCAGCTTTCATTTCCTGATATTTACATCTAGATGTGTTAAATGATTTATGTCTTCAGTGTACAGCAAAAACAGTATAGCAAAAACAAAAGAATTGGCCTTGCCATTCCAGTGCTTATGGATGGGACTGTATATATAATTCAGTATTGACTAGTTGCATTTCACGTTCAAAATATGTTTACAGTGACCTGAAAAAGTATTTGTCCCTCCTGATTTCCTCTATTTTTGCATATTTGGCCCTGTTCATACCTGGCATTGAAATGCATCCTGGGTGATCCAATCGTAAGTGGACAGAACTAAGAACAGGTATGAACAGGGTCCAATGTGTCTCGAACACATATTGTGATCCGATTATTCAAACCACATTCAGAGGTGGTTTGGGACGCATGCAACCAAATAACGTTTATAGTGTGAACATAAAAACATCTTCATGTGTCCTGGACAGAAACAAAGGACCGCCTAAATGGCTATGACATTGCCCTAGCTGGCAAATATGTAAGCATTGTGAGACTGTTTGAAAATCACTGCTTTTCCTAGCTCCTTCCTCATCTCATCTCCTGTTCATTTATAAGTTTCGTTAGAGACCATGTGATCGAAACATTTGAAAACAGTCTGTATAGGTACATGAGATAGGATTCATGGGACATTTCTGCTGAAAACAAATGCAGCGGAAGACTAATGTTATAATGAAAATGATGTATGAAATACAGACAGAAGTGGTCACTGGAGGTGCATGCAAAGTGTCAGATGTAAACAGCTCTGCGTTTTCGGCTGTCCACAGACTGGGAAACACATCACATTGATTCACAAATGAATGAATTCATTTTGGTGTTTGTTTATGCACCATTTAGCAATCTATACAAAATGTTGTTGTGCTTTCGGCTGCTCCCATTAGAGGTTGCCACAGCAGATCATCGGTTCCGCGTATTTGATTCGGCACAGTTTTTATGCCGGATACCCTTCCTGACACAACACTCCCCAATTTTATCCAGGCTTTTATCCTGTCATGTGCAACCTCAGTGGCTGAGGTTGATTTCCTGGCCGGGAATCGAACCCAGCCTGCAGCAGTGAGAGTGCCGAGGCCTAACAACTAGTCCTCCAGGGACCCATACAGAATGATAAAAATATTAAATGTAAGAAAAACTGTAGTACATGACAAGGTACTGAAAACTGTTTGTAGTTTGTTGTTTGACAACCCCTGTTTAATGTTGTAAACAAATCCATTTATGAATAAATTTCTTTATAAAATGAGTCCCTTTCCATCCAATCTGATTTTTTTTTTTTTTTTTTTTTGAAAGGTCAGGTTCCCTAGTAGGACCTTGACTGCCCTCTGGTGGACGAAGCGCGCGTTACACTATTAACCCTTTTCTTTCCGACATACAGAACAGGCTCCTGTCAGTGAAGATGGCGACCGGAGTCCTTCAACGCTGTTTTAGCGGACTTGGCTCGGCGAGCTACAAGGCCAGGACGAAAGGGCAGGTCATTCTTTTCAGGTCTGAACATTTTATCTCCATTACTGTTGTGTAGCCGTCATCACGACGCTTTCTTATCAGAGAAAGATACAGGCGTGAATCAGATAATGGGCCGTGTCCCAGTGCACATGCTGTTCCATACAAGTTCAGCTAAAGGAAAGCATATTCACATCCTCTCATTCTACATGAAACATGTTTGCATGCATTTCATTTTTTTATAATCCATTCTGTTCAGTGTAAACCTCTCGGATAAACCAAGATCAGTGCAGCTGTACATTGTAAAAGGATAGATCAGACTCTTGATTGCTGAAGGACAAACAGATTTCAATATACTGTTACATTACAATCACTATGTAGTGATACTGACACTGGGATCATAGATTTTTTAGTGTTTTGGCAGTTTTGGCATGATTGAGAGCAGTTTAATTGCAGTTATTTTGAGCCACACAATTACAGCTGCTGACATATTGTATTGAACAATGTTAAATGGGTGTTGTTGTTGTTGTTGTTGTTGTTACTTGAACAGAGCTCCCATTGAGAACCATATGAAGGGATTGCACTGCACAGGAAACTTTTTTCAGGCCTGGCTAAAACAGTAATAGCAGTTTACTGTTTCCCATGATTTTGGCATCACAAATGAATTCATTTATTCATTGATTTGATTGGTTGTTTGGTTGAATGACCAGCTACCACTCACGTCAACTCATGTCAAGTCAAATCAAGTTTATTTATATAGCACATTTAAAACAATATGAGTACTGACCAAAGTGCTGCACATAACGGCATAACGGGAAATAAAAAAAAATCTAAAATATAATTAAGAATGAAAATAAATATATAAGCAAAGAATTGCTATAAGAAAACAAACCAGATATAACTAAGGCCAGAAAATAAGCAGTTAAACAGTGGTGCAAAAAAAAAAAAAACAAGCCTGAGAGAAAAAATAAGTTTTAAGGGATGTTTTAGATGAATTTATTGTATTGGAGGATCTGACAGAGAAGAGCAAACTACTCCAAAGCTTCAGTGCCATTACAGAAAGGGCCAAACTGGTGGACCATCTTTGCTAGCTGATTATTTTCCACCTGGATTAAA